CATAGTTATGTATAATATATTACATTTCTGACTGTATATCCCTGTAATTATTACACACTGTAGCTTTAAAATAAAGACTGAGCGTAAGCAATGGTAAATATGGGTTCGATTTTTAACAGCTTGAATTAAAAAAGTCCAAGGCCAATACATTCTGATTCAGGGCAAAGTTTTTATATAACAAAAACTTTCATAATGTCACTTAACTAACCAGACACTGAACAGTACAGAGACATGTCAAAGAGCTTCAGTATCGTCGAAAATGTAATTTTAGAATTTTAGAATTACACTCAAAAAGTGAAGCCAGTAATACAGATTCGCTACAATCATTTAGAAGGTTTAGTTCTGATATGACTTGTATCTAAATATAGCTTCCTCTCCAACATTTTTCCAGACTCCGGTACTTTGATTTTAAATAAAATGCAAAATGTACTTTTATTTGAAAATGGGACTTTGGCTAGGTAGAAAAAGGGCTTGACTACCGATCCATTTTTTCAAAGTAGGACACTTCAGACATCTCTAGTTCAGGGCAGTTAGAGGTCAGAGTAAAGGATACCTCTGTATGTGGTGACCATTGAAGCACTGAGATCAATCCCTATCTGCACCTTGTAAATCTTCTCCAAACTCTGCTTCATAATCCTTTCAAAGCTCTAGTTCCCCTAGTAACTCGTATTTCTTCCATCAATGATACAGCACCAAACAAAGTGTTAAAACTTCTTGTAGAGGGCAGCAGTGACTGTCTGCATGCAGGACAGCTAAAAAACAGCTGCTTATTTTCCAAGACAACCTTTAAGAACTTTAAGAGAAACTATACAGCAGACCAATTTGAAATATATGATCCTCAGCTGTAAACAGTAACAAAAGTATTAGCATATTTTAAGCATCACTGTGTGTAATGCATCTATAAAAGAGTCACTTTTTGAGTGGAATTACTGAAATGAATTAATGTTATTGTCTTTTAATAAAATATTATGCATCTTAAACCCCAGATCAAATGTTTAAAAGAAATCATATGCACCAACATGAAAGGTTGAAACAGCCTAATTTTGATGGCAAAACAAAGATGCCATCATAGGCATAGATGAAAAAGGTTCATGCTTATTTTAAAGGCTTAAAAAGACCCAGAAAACAGCCAGCAAATTGTTGCAGTGAGAAAAACCAAAGCCAAGCAGCCAGCAGGATCTCCAGAGACCAGAGCCAGACTGGAATCTGACCCGGCCTATCATGCAGGTCACACAGGTATACTTACTGTCTGCACCTCTGCCTGTTGGTTGGCTTTCTGCCGCCGGAGGTCAGATTTGATGAATCCTGTCAGAAACCAGGGAAGGATTTAATACTTTAGTTTTCAAAATGGCCACATTGACAGGACCTTGCAGCTAGATTCTAGTGTAATAACTTTACTATGCAACAACTGAATTTAGTCTGATTTTAGGAAAAACTAGTTTAACTCAATAAGCTGGTGATTCACTAAAAATTTCTTCAGCTAAACCATAAAGAGGCAAGGGAATATCAGTTTGATCTATTCATTTTATTTTATTTTATTTATTTATTTTTTTAAATAAAGTGTCTATAGATAAGCAACTTTCACAGGTTTATTTCTACTTAAACCATTAGGGGGCAGCAAACATCCAAGAAAAATATTGCTTGAAAAAAATAAAACTCACTAGCCAGTCTTCATACCAATTAAAAATTTGCCTAAATTTTAAAAACCATATGGAATGAAGAAAAGCATGGTTTACAAGAAAGTTCTTTAAAATCAAATTTACACCTTCCTTTAAGAAGCATATCCCATTAAAGAAAATGAAAAACCAGTTTCAATCAAACGTTTCCCAAGTAATATTTTGTCGATTTAAATAAACTACACAAAAAAAGAAATACAAATATAAGTATGCAATCAACAATTGCAAAGGAATATTACATATAAACAGAAAGGTACAAACATGGAGTGATATAAGTTTTATTTCATTGTTCCTCGTTACTAAAATAATCAGATTTGGATTGTATGATTTTTCATTTAAACAATAATTAAATTGTGGGTTAAACATAATCGTTGGTCACCTTTATCATCCTTAGTAAAGCAATAAACACTCTTCCAATACTATCCACCCCTACTATCAGTAAAGTTGTTCTATATGGCTGATTCCTTCTAAAACATTAATGAACTAACAGATCCATTAAGACCAAGGAGAACAGCAGACAGGTCAGTGGTAAAGTTAAAGAGAAAAGCAGCCTTTGGTTGTTAACATTTGCTTTGAGCCCCAAAGCCAAAATAAACACATAAAGGAAAAATGTTGGATCTAAACTGGATACGTATAAAGTCTTTTTCTTTCCTTGCTAAAACCAATTAGAATTTAATTGACATTAACATTTCTGCTGTAAAAAAAACTTCTGTAAAAAAAAAAATCCAAATAGACCAAGGCCACCTGATTTTTTTACTGTGTAAATAAAAGATTAATCACAAAATTAACTAATATGATACACATATGCTGCCATTACTCATACAGCTTGTGATTGAAATTGTGAGATTAGTCTCATTACTACAAAGAGTTCAACATGTTTGGTTAAAGGAAGCACTATGAATAGTGGAAATAATCAAATGAGACTAAAGCCACAGAATGCAGGCCCCTCAAATAGAACATCTCAGATTATATCCTAATCATCAACTACAAAACAGAATATTTCACAATTTTGAACATACCAAGAACGCTTAATCCAGCTATGAGACAAGTCAGGCAAGGAGAATAAATAGAGAAGGAGTGAAAATGTTCATGGTCAACTGCATAGATTAACAAATTAGTAGTTATGCTCTCCTAAAACTGCCATTCTGACTTAAAACAAAACCTTTTAAGTCAGAAATCCTATTTAAGAGAGCCACTGCCACTAAGGGACACAGCAAACATGTGGAAGAAGGTGCTCCAATCAGAAATGACAATAATTGTATTCATTGTTTTTCATACAAAGTACAATATAGAACACAACCAACACTGCACATCCACCTAAACCCAACATCCCCACATTATATGATGCCAGTATTGCATTAGAGGATGCCAGTATTGGGGTGAGGTTGGGCTTGATGGGAAAATGAAGCAAAATAAGTCCTGCAGGAGGCCTGGAACTTGGGTGAAGGCTTATGGTTGACTAGGCCTTTCTAATACACTATAATCAGTATTGCACTCAAATTGACTGCCTTAAACTACTTATGAACTGGGCAAAACAGAGAAGTCTTTTTTAGGAAACGTTATAATTCACATATGAAAACCAGAAATTTAAAGTCATTTTCTTTCATTTACACTTATTTGTGTGCCATCTGTTTTGCTCTATCACAATAAAGTAACAAGTCCCAAAAAAGGTTTGTGCCATCTATGTGATGCATTGATGCTCGTGTCTTACCCGTCATTATTGTTCCCATTAGCAGAAAAGTACACAGGAAAAGATTTCCCACTAAAGTTCCCCATCTGTCCATGAGCTTTCCTTGTCCAATGGTGAAAATGATTCCAAAGATCTGCAACAAGATTTACAAAGATATTTACTTTTTATTGCCAAAAGGTAAAACTGCAAATTCCGCCTACAAGTCTATAATATAATCAGACCCAGCAAAATCTGACCTGAGCTGAACAGTTGAGCAAACCAGATGAGGTTCCTTCAGGTTCAGGGAAAGTGAGCTCCACTGCAAACTCAAAGCCAAGAGGCAGATATCCTGTCATGAAGAAGCTGCAAAGTAAAAACAGAAACTGAAGCTCAGGTTAAAAACCATGTCCAAAGAGTCCACTCTGGCATTAATTATGTGATCAACTATGAAAGAGCTTCCCTGATAGAAAAGGAAGACACATTTCTACGAAACAATCAAAAATTCAGAAGCAAAAAAAAAAAAGAAAAAAGAATTGGAATGGCAACTATTACCAGAAATTGCAACTGCAAGAGCAGCATTGGAGCGGCAAAGGGATAAGGTGCTGGCAAAAATCTGGATGCAGCAAAGCTTTAATGATGCATTTTCAAAACTTTTATAATGATCACGCAATTGTTCACATGTTTGCCAGATTAGGTAGTAACCAGTGACCTTCACTCTGTTTATTTCTGTATCATTTTAAACAATAAAATACTCATGTATTAATTTTACAGCACAGTCATTTTTATGTTTACTTGTGTAATATTTTCATTAAATAAGCAAAAATGGAAAAAAAAATTCAGACATGTCTGAGTTTAGACTTCATTGTGCAACAAGCTTAGTTATCTACATCTACTGAGCGTCCTATGGTTTTATATTTTCTTTTATATTTATTGCATACAGCAAATAATATGACTGGAATTAGTTTGCGATGTTGAAACTTACATTTAATATATTGTATGACTTCAGATCAAACATTGTGATCACACAGATAAACAGTATTCTGGAGCCTTCTTGATAAATGCTCTCTCTTAAAAGGACTAGTTTTTAATTCAGCAAAATATACTAAAATAGTGGAACTCTTCCACCTCTGATTGTACCTTTTAAAAAACTAAAATGTACTAATCAACAAAATTACTGATTTGTTTTGTTCACAACCTCCAGGAGTGATGGCTGAGTAACTTTGGCAAAAAGAATCACTTTTTGTTTTGGACTATACTATAAGTATTACCTGTATAAAATATGGCTACTCTTAATTAAATGTTTGGTTACTTCATCCACTGTGAGCAACTTACAGCTACTTTTGCCTATTTAGTACATATATGAAGTAGCAATACACTTGATCCTTTTTTTCAGGTCACTCTACCCACCTCTGTTTACATGGCACACAAGGGTTACCTACCCTAGGACTCCAGCTGTGATAAAAACCACCCACAGGTGCCCCAGGTTCAGGGTGAAGGTGTAAACCAGCATCCCAACCATGGAGAGGATATACACCACCAGGGTGGTTTGCCTGCAGGGACCAAAGGAAAGAAGTTTTCATAAGACTGTGACAAATTCACATCCAGATTCCAACTTAAAGGAGATTGTTCAGCTACAAACACTTAAAAGAAGCAGCCATTAGACAGACCTTTTTATTTATTTTTTTAAAGAGCCACAGTTAAAAAAACAGCAGAGATTTAGCTTCACATCATATGCATTTAATGTAGATCAGCACCTTTTCCCAGTGAAATAAACTAAGGAACGGTTTGTTGTTCTACTATATACCAGCAAAAACTCCAGTGATTCATACTAAGAAGCAGGAGCATCCACTCAAATTGGTGAAATATAGCAGAGATTTTAGAAGACGTTGATCCACATCAAGTTGCAGTTATTTTCGAATAGACTGGAAAAAAGATACCATGCATAAGAACATAAAAATGTTGTAATGGGTATGCTTATTTAATGAGACAGAAATACATTTTTCTGGACCAAATCTAATTTCATATGGGGAAAAAAGTGTAGATGCTAAATTGGACTTTTCACTATCAACATACAATAAGCCATCTAGAAGCTTATTATTTGTGCACATTAATTATGTTTGTGATAAAAATTATTTTGCTAAAATGCCATCAGGGTGCTTATAACATTAGGTGTGTCTCACCCCCCCTCAGTGTCCACCATATTGGATCAGTCCATTTGCTGCACATGTTCGGAAAGGTCCAAACAGACAGGAAAATATTTGAAAAGAAACGTTGTGAAGAGCAGTGTTGCCACTTTAGCGCTGTTTTTGCTATATTTAGCAACTTTTCAGCACCTCTAGCACTTTTGTTTCCAAAAAGCACCTAGCACTAAATCTAGTGACTTTTTTCTGCTGGTTGAGACTTTGGCGACAACATATAAAAGCACCGAACTCTGCTCTCCAGAGCAAGTAGATTCCTAACCCCGCCTTCTGCTCTCTATCTTGTCTGCTGTCATGATTCAAGCAGCTATTCTTTCATACAAATGAAAAATGGAGAAAAGAAGATCATGGCTTGACTACAGTGAAAAGGAGGACTGTGTTATTTACTTTTGCCGTTGCCTTTTTGGAGACACGGGAAGGAGCAATCGGCTAAGTGAGCTTATTGATTGGAAAAAAAATCTTTCATTCGATGAAAAGTCAGCTGAGTACAAAACAGAGAGGAAAAAAACAAAAGGGAAAAGAAGAGAGAGGGCAAAACATAGAACAAATAATGCACGTCTATTCTATTTATGTATGTCTATATAATATTACATTTTCTGTATCTGTATAATGGATGTTGTCTTCTCAATTAAAAGGGCCCCATGCCTTTTTTTTGCCTAGGGCCCAAAATTTCCCAAATCCACCCCTGTCTACAAGAACATGTCCTTGGAAATCTCTTTAATGCTTTAATGAGATTGCTTTCACATTTCCCACCTTTTCTTTTTCACACTTTATCCCTCCACTAAATTTTCAATCAAAAAAAGCTTGGTTTTAGGAACTAATGAGCCTAATTAGCTGTGACCTTGTGGATGTTTTAAATGATCATATCTAATAGAAAATCCATTATTGATTTTGCAAATCATCCGAGATGTTTGAAAAATATAAGACAAGTTTTTTAATTTGTTATCAGCAAAGAAATTATAAATATAAAAGTATGTGCAGTGAGTTTACTGTATAAGAGTTTTACTAGCTGAAGTAAATTAAATATAGGAATAAGATCATTAAAAGCAGTGGATAAAGGGCAGGAAACGATTAAGAGGGGGAAAAACATTTTGTTATAGAAATCTGAATTTGAAAGGAAAAGTTTGAAGGACCGAGGAAAATTTGGAGATTTAAGGCTGGAAGCAGAGAAAGTAGAAGTTTCCATAATACTGATAAGAAGGATCATAAATACATTTTTGATTCAAATTAAAGGCTTTAAAAAGACCAATGACCAAAACAAAACTCAATTATAAACGTCAGTATTTGATCTAAATTTAGCTTTTAACCAAACAAAATTGAGGTATGTGGTACAAAAACAATATTAAGTTGGTGCAGCAGCTTCCTAAGAAAACCAGCTTACTTTGGGAATGCAGTCCTGCACAGTCATGCGTGAATTATGTGGCAAAACATTTTTGTTAGTACAGCAAAGTCCACTGAGTGACACAGTGAGACAATGTGAGGGTCCACAGTTTAAACCTGAGGTAAACTGGTCTGACAGCCAAGCATCCAAATGGCATGTAAGGAATTCAAGGACTGAGGATTTTTACCTGACATAGTAGATTATGTGTCTCATTAATGGACGCGATAATGCATCTCAACTGTTACTTAGACACGCGTAGTACTACTCAAAATGACATGACTTTTTTCTACATTTTTAATTGAAAGCTTTTCTGCCAAGTATGAACTCAAGAAGATTCTGAGAAAACTACCAACTTTTTTTTAACCTAATCAGAAAACCATTTTGGTGCATTGCTCTGTAGAGCCCCACAACAACTTGAGCAATTCAATATTTTTGAAGGCTACAAGTATCTAAATTTAGATGATCTGATCCGGAAAGAATATTTGATATCCGACTGAAAAAGAATGTCCATGCAATTTTAAGACATTTCACTTATATTTAGTCAGGGCCAGACAAGGACAATGATAGATTTTAAATCCTGCTGGAAAATGAAATACTAGGATTTCACAAATCACAGTGGGCCAACACAAGCAGATAGCTTTTATTTTCTAAAAATAAAAAAAATAGATAAAACTGATTGTACAAGATCATCTTACTTGTAGGTTTTGGTCTTGTCGAGCCAAATCCCGCATACGAGGGATCCTGCCATTCCAGCAATGACAATGGTCAAACCAATCCTCCCAGCATTCACCTCTTCACCCTGAAACAAAAAACACCATAAATATATATGAGTCACCTCTGACAGAGCCATTTCAATTAGAGCAATAAAAAAAAGATAATTATCGGACTCCTGTTATCTTTGTGAGGGTCAATCATGTTGAAGCCATTAACTTCAAAAAGGTAAAAAAAAATTGCACAAGAGTTTAAAAGATGAAAGATGTCAACCAGAGATGATAAACGAATCCTTTATAGATTTGCTCAGGGATAAAACACGTCATTTGGGAGACACATGGAAACTTACAGGGTAGTGTTCTATTATCATTCTGTTCAAAAGTGTGGAAATGGCATAGAAGCATCCAACGTTCAACCCTACAAACACAAACAGAAAGCTTATATTTTATTATTATTCAGAGTCAAAACAGGATTATACATCAGTGTCAACTTGAGAATCCAACGGCAAAAATTGTATGCAAAATAAACTGAGAAACTCTACATTTACACTCTAAATCATGACCTTTGAGCCTCAGTGTGATTTATTAGATGTGCTTTAGATACAAGCTGCGCTTCAAATGTAGTGCAGGACAATTAATACTGTATTGAGTCTCTTACCTCAACACAGCATGCCAATGATAGAAGAAATCTTTCACAAGAGAGGCATGTGAGGACAAGTTTCTCAGACCTTCTTGGTAATAATTTATACAGTGATGGATCATGTTATTCATGCATGTGACCAGCTTGTTTTTACACTGGTTTACACAGAGAGTTAAACTTATCTAATAATGTTAAAAGCTATTTTTAAACATGCATCTACATTTTTAGAGACTAAACCTGTTAAATACATTGATATGTAGACAGCGTTATAAGACATTTAACCCAAAAACAACCAATACACACAAGATTGGCCTCCATTAAGTCCAATAAAATGGACCCATTACACACAGTCCTGACCCTAAAACTAACCCTAAACCTTACCATTATCAATGCATACCTCTCCCTAACCCTAACCCAATTGACAGCCCTAAACCTAACATTAGTAAAATAGCATGAGAGGACCAGCAAAATGTCCTCACATTACAACAACTGGTCCTTAATTTGATGGTGAAATTGGAGAAATGGTCCTCATTCTGAGGGCTAGACAGATACACACACACACAAAAATCCACACCGACAGAAATAATCAGCCAATTTCATACACTGTACAAGCACCAACTGCAGTTTATCTACACGCTACATTTCTATGAACATTTTTTCTTTCAAGCTTGTTAAGTTTTGGCTGCATTTTATGTGCCTTCTAAGCCACAACTCAAAAAGTATAACTGAAAATAATAATTAAAATTTTCTTGATTTTGATTCTAAAAATCATTAATTCTAGAAATCATTAAAATCCCAGTATCTCAGCTGGTTTGTATTCAGGTTATTGCTCATTTTCAATAATACAAAGACTTTAAAGACCTCTTTTGCTTTACATTAAAGTGTAAATATGCATTAAATATGCATTTTAACATGGCCACAGGAAGTGTGGGTGGTGGAGGTGCTGAAGCTTTTTTTTTTTAAATGTATCAAAAATACTTTGCACAATTTATACATTTCTCATGGATAATTTGGGAAATGATTTTGACTTTTATTTTACCATTAAGTGTATTTGGATTTTAATTTAATTATTCGGATGCCTAATCAACACAAGTTCACTTAGGTTACATTTTCATGGCAACGTCAAGCAAGCTACTGGTTGCCGAGGTATCCCGCTCGCGGCAGCAGACTAGTAAATTTACACAGTCTAATGACGAAAACATATTTTGTTTGTTTTTTTTAAAACCACCACCAGTGAGGAACATGAGTACCTCAATGTCAATGCAGGCTTTTCAAATTGGTGTAAAGCCACTGAAATTTCTCTTATTGTGAAGTTTAATTAATAACACACATAGTCACCTGAGAACTGATTAGTGTGATTAATTATGTCTGTGTGTTACAAACCCTGGTTGCATGCACTGAGGTGTATATGACAATAAAGTAGTGAATGTCAATCTATTCATTTAATTTATCTATTGTATATTTAAATATGAGTCTATAGGCTCATAGGTCTTTTGTCCAAAATAATAAAAAACAAAGCACCCCCTGCTCAAAATAACTTCCAGCAGCCCTGCATTCTACTGTCCTATTTGTCAAATTTACTAACCAGTCTACAGGTTGCTAAAATGAATGTAAAAATAAGGATGTATAGTCTTATTGAGGGGTGTTGGTATTGACCTTAACCTCCAAATTAAATTAAATGAAACGATGCTAAATAAGAACCAACGGTTGGACAAAACATAGGTGTACTCAACTGAAATGATTAAGTTTGTTGGTTAAAAGCCCTTTGGTTTAGCTAACATTTCTAAAAATGGAGGCTTCCTGTATACATCTACAATTCGGGCAATAATTAAAAAGAGCAAAATAACTGGAATGGAGGCAAACATTTCTGGAGGAAGACTTGAATGCATCTTAACAGAGCACAGCGAGGAAAGATCGGTTAAAAAATAAAAATTCAAAAAGCACATCATTTAAAAACCTTGGCCTTTTTCATAAAATATTCATTTTGAATAGTTAAAAAAACGCTAAGGCAGTTCGACTATACGGTTGGATGAACCCACCATAGCTGCTAACAAGCAGCATGAAAGCCTTGTTGTGCAGCAGCCTACAGATGGAGTCCATGTAGGAATAGTCATTGGAGCGGGAGATCCTTGCTTGAGCCTGGGACTGGGTTGGTGGGATCTCTGGTCTTTCCTGAAACACTACAGAGCAAATGTAGAATAATGTATTAAAAATAAATAGATCAGAGAAATAAAGTATTGTTTCTGCAACATGTCAATGTTATTAGCTTTAGTTAGAAATGTCCATTAACATTCCTTGGATAAAGGGGGGAAAAAAGGCCATCAGGAACTAGAGCCTGATCCTGACGTACCAATGACCACGAGTACAAAGATGAAGGTGGCCACGCCCGCGCTGATGTAGAACATGAATCTGATGTGATACGCCAGCTCGTCAACATCGTCCACATTAGGCACAAGAATGGGTGGGAGCAGGAATCCAATGGCAATACCCAACTACAATGGGGAAAAAAACAGGACTCAGGTTTCTACCAAAATCCAAAAAAACTGGCTGAAATTTAAAACTTTTGTTTTACATAAAAAAAAAAAAAATAAAGTAATAAAGTATGACTTCAGGGACAAAGCCCTAAAATAAAGGAAGCAATCTGACATTTTTTGTTGAACCTTTTAAATAAGAGTGGAAACACAGTTTAATGCTTTCAGTGTCACAAGTTTTAAAGAAAACAATTATTAAAGACCAAATTATAACTAAAGTAGATGCCAATGTGTCTAAGCTTGACCTTTAAATAAATTACGACCATCTTAAAGCCTCCAGGATGTTTTACTATCTGGAATAAAAGGTTAAAGTTATAAAAACAGCTGCATGAGGATAGCTCCTCACAGTATTGGGAAACTTTTTAATATGTGGGAAAAACGCCAAGTGCTTTACCAGTTTATCAGCAGCCTGGGAGGCTGGAGGTGAAGGACTTTCTGTACAGAACACATCTGACTGAGCAATTTTGTACAATTATTTTAATCCAAATCAGTCATCCTTGTGGATTCAAGCAAGTGCAAAGAGCAACAAACAGTATGTTACATGAAATTATTGCTCATTTATTTACACTTGACAAAATCTACGGGATCAAAGTTTCCTTACATGAATCAGTGTGTGACTTCTTATTTCCAATCAAATACATATAGAAACTGTATTTAAACAAAAAAAAAAAACACACCTGATTTCCTAAAACCCCAATAGAGCAAGCTGTGGATACTTCCTGCTGCCCAAACCACAGAGAGGCCAGCCTGGATGGGATGCCTAGAATATGGACGGTAGCTACTGAACACACGAACTGCCCCAGGAAGGTCACAGTGAACATATCTGGGTCTGCCGTGCCAGTCTTGATCCAGGCCCCGATGCAGTTGAAGGCGGAACCCACTACCATGACGTCCCTGATCCCCCGATGGTCAAGCAGCCAAATGACAGGCACAATGAGGAAAATGTAGGTGAGGAGATAGATCATGGACAGCCAGTCGATGGCCATGCTGTCGACGTTGTAGAAGCCCATGAAGATATTGCCGACAATGCTGTATTGAAGCCACATGAAGCTGTTGCTCATGGAATAGATGCTGAAGAGAAGCAGCATCACCCATCGTCGCTTGCACAACTTTGTCTCCATCAGTGGAACTCCATCTAAAAGAGGCTGCTCCAGGCTGTCACTGCTGTCACCCACAGGAGGCTGGTGTCTAAAAGAAGTCATAGTATTCCTAGTTTGAGATGAGTCTTCATCCCTTTTGAAGCCGTCAAAGCCGTCTGTCAATTTGTCATATTCATCCAGAGAGCTCATGTTGATCTCACAGAAGTCATCCGGTTTCTCCTTGTTCTTCTGTAGCACTAAACAGTGGGAGGAAAGGAGAACATTTCCTCAACTTGCCCCTCCTTCTAAATAAGCATTTCCTCCATGCAATTCATAAACACGTTCTGCCGATCAATGTAAATATTAAAGTCACAACAAAAGGATTGCACTATTCCTCAATTTCTATCAAGTTCTAAATACCATGAGCACAAACTCTGATCTCACAACATACATGGCTGATTCTCTAAAAAACTTTTGTTAATCAAAAGTTGATTTTTCCTGTGCCAGGCATCAGCATGTGCGATAACAGCATGAAGACTGATGACAGAAAAAAAAAAAAAAACAGATTTTATGACTAAAAGCACATGACATACCCGTTCTTATTACAAACAAGGTAAAGTCCATTGAGGTTAATGCATAATCGTGCACAAAGAAATATGCATCAACTTAAATATAAGAGAATTGGATCCGTTACTTCCCACCTAGTTCTAAATGATAGTTGTGGTTTTAAGACAGGGTTTGGCAATTCCAGTTTATTAGGGCTGATTTCCTACAACTTTTATATGTGGCTTTGGTTCAACACACCTGAATCAAGTAATTAGAACATTAGGAGAACTCAGGAGGAGCTGACTGCGTACTGAGGTGGTAAGTCAACCATTTGATTCATGTGTGTTGGAGCAAGGGTGGATCTAAAAGTTGCAGATCCCTCGGGAACTTGAATTGCCTACTAAGAGGTTGGGTGCATATAACCACAGTCAAGTGTTGCCTCAGAGATGTTAAGAGCACAGAATTTCAAATGAGAAAATATTTCAGTATCAACAGAGTGTTTAAATTCCATAATGATTAATAGAGAATCAATTTAATTATAGTTTTCTACAATTTTTAGTAAAACTAATTTCTTCATCCAAGTACTTTGTGACATAAAGGAAAAAGCTTGTTTCTATCCATATTTCCAAGTGTAATCCTGTGCCTCTGCACCCTCTATGACAAAAGGGCATTGGATTATTTACAAAATTATACAAAATTTACAAAAAGAGATCCTGTAGAAATCAATTAATACTCTAGGAAACTAAGGGAAATCTAGAGATTCCAGTATAGATCCTACTCTTAAGTGGAAGAAAAAAATGCCATTAATGGAGGAAGAGGCAAATACTGCCAGAAACCCTCAAACTGAAGGGGAAAACCCAGCTCAGTGGAGCAACTAAAGAAACAAGTGTCACATGGACAAGTTTCTACTCTGTTTTAAAAAGCTTTATCTAAATGTTAAAACACAAATAGAGAAACAAACAAAACATTTCAAGATAAAGGACCAAATCTGAAGCATTTTAAAATGAGCAGTGCAGCTCAAGTATGTTGGAACAGTAGTAACAGGACATCTGCTAACATTCTGCACAATTACATTGGTGCTGTAAAAAAAACTGATAGAGATCAGGTTGTCCTACCTGTAGTCAGAGGCTGGGAACAGGGCAACACTACAGTTTATATAAATACTAAGGACAAGCAGAAGATGGCGACAGTGCCACGTCATTTCCCACCAGAGCATTCCAACTAAAAATAGTCTGCAGATGGATGCTCAGGATTGCCTTACCAGAGTAAAGGCAAACCTCCAGGTATGAAATGCATTTAATGGCCTGGGAATAAATGCAAATGAAGCAAGTAAACTGATGTAAGGAAATAAAATTTATGAAGTAGAATTGTTCAAAAAAGGGAGCAACTGTATGCCTTTGTTTTTTGTCTGACTTTTCATTTACTAGCTGCACCAAAAGAAGGGCCAACTCATGAGTTTCATTTTGGATAGATTTGAATTTTTGGTTATATGATCAATTTAGGTTATATTTTTCTTCAGCATCGAGCGAGAAAAGACCAGAAAGAAAACAATTGGAGAAGTAGACTCCACTCCAAGTCGATAATCATTCTCAAAAAGTGAAGGTGATTCGTTTGTAGTATAAAGACTGAACTGAAAAGCCAATCTTTTGATTTGCCAGTCCAATGTTTAAATCTTCACTTGAGGGCATGATGTACAGATAATGATCAATATATTGAAATCCTTAAAGGCATTTGGCCTCTAACTTAAGAGATAAGGTCTCCAGTCATAATTTTCAACTCACAAGAGCCTCTCCTCCTTCACACTGAGGCGATTCAGCTGACTCAAGTTTCAGGTTTCTCTTTATACATGATGTCGGGGAGAGACTCACGCTACCCCACGGTCATAAAAAAAAAAAAAAAAGGAGCTCTTAAGAAATTTATGTCTAGGCCTGGTTAAAATCTCCCAAATCCATATGGGACAATGTGCCGTGGTTTAGTGAAATCAAACTGAGGAATTAAAAATTCACAGTTTTCATTTCGGGTGAAAAACACTGATCACCACCAGAATAATAACACCATAAATATAAGCAGTATTTTGTTCTGGGGTTACTTTTCTTCTAATAATTATATCACCAAAAAGTATTACAAACCACCTACAACCAACCACTGAAGAAAACTGTTTGATATTAATCTAAACTGGCAAAATAAATACGAAAATTGGCCACTATACATAAAGTTGATCTTGATAGATAAAGGTCATACACACACACACACACACACACACACACACAGTAAATATTTCTTATTTGGGTTTTTTTTTTTTTTTTTCAGCTGCTGTAGTTGCTTACTTTTTACATCCTCAATTACTCTTAAGGATGCTCATTCCACTCAAAAGTGCTTTAAATTTTCTCCATGTTCCATTTATATGCATTCTATGCAGAAAGTCTCGATAAAATATTCCATAATGACTAAAAAGTTTTGATTGCATTTAAATGTAATCACCAGTGGAATACTACACAGTATATTTAACACTTGTTTTGTTAAATTATGTGTAGAAAATGCCAAGATGAGGCCTTTCAAACTCATGATACAAAAAGCTAAGCTGTTGTGTTAGCTAACATTTGGCTGCTTTTTTAACAAGTAATAATCATCCTCAATAATAAATGGCTTGTTTTACACTCAAACAGATTTGAGCTTCAGGTTAATTGTCTAGCATGAAGCCCTTTTTGTTCAAGGAGAAAAGTAATCACTGAACACAGGAAAGAAGACTGCAGTTTCAGCTCCCAAGCATACGGTATATATAACTATTGTGGCACCCATTTTAAAAAGAGGTTATACAAGCTGCCTTATCAAGATTCAAATGGCTAAACACACAGCTCATACTGTAGAAAGAGGGGGCTTTATACTGATTTATATCTGAGTTGGTATGCACTTAGAATGGATCCAGGTGCTTTTAAAACATCAGTACTCCTACTACAGGTTTCTCAAGTTCGACCTGACAGAACTGACCAAGACTCCTGTAAAGGTGTTGAAACTTTATTAGAAAAAAACAAGTCAGGTTCCCTCAAACCCAAGCCCGATTCATGGTTGCCATAACCCAGAGGCCTGAGAATTTAGCTTAGAGGTCATTATGTGGACAAGATTTAAAGTGCATCCATTTCATTTCTTTCACCTCAGCTAAAAGGGATGCAAATGGAGAACAAATATTCAAAAAATAAAACAATCCACTTGACTTTTGTTTCAAATTTGAAGACACTTTGCTTCCCATCCAGGAAGCTTTTTTTATTAAAAAAAGAGCCAGCATATGTTCCAACATCATTTTGCTACATCTATGAGGATAATATGAGCTAGTTTCTATAATAATTAGTTTCTATAATTTCTTATGTGCAATAATTGGGTATTTTTGGGCTCAAACATTTTGTTGATGAGGTTTACTACGGTAATTATTAAGTGCATCCATGTAGATTCTAGAAAAAATGTTAGACGACTTTATTAATCCATAGTTGCAGCCTAATTAGGAATACCAGTTTGATTCCATGCGTCAAAAAGAGAGAAAAATATAATTTATTTGCACTATAGTAACAAATCAACTTTCAACTCCGTTGTATAAGAATGGAGGTTCCATAGGGACAAAAAAAAAAAAAAAAACAACAACAGTACAGTGTAACTTTTACCTGATGCTCTTCTCTTTTTGAAGGGAAATATTTGGATTTATTCCATCAACTCACCTGATTCCCAAACACTCCAATGGAGCAGGCGGTGGAAACCTCATCCGAACCGAACCACACCGAAGCCAAACTTGAAGGGATTCCGAGGATAAAGACCTGAGCTAGGGAACTGGCGGACTGTCCGAGCAGGGTCACCCAGAACAGGTCAGGTCTGGCGCTGCTCACCTTTATCCAAGTCCCTGCGCAGTTGAGCGCAGTCGCCACCAGCGCAGTGAAGCGCAGCCCCTGCTTCTCCAGCAGCCAGGTGGCGGGGAATATGAAGGGGATGTAAGCCAGCATGTAGATCATGGAAAGCCAGTCTACAGAGAAGCCATCCACGTTATAGAACTTCATGATGATGTTGCTGATGATCCCGTACTGGATCCATTGGTAAGCGTTGCTCAGGGAGTAGGTGCTGAAGAGGAGCGCCATCAGCCAGCGCCTCTTGTAGAGGTGCGTCTGGAGCGCGCGCTCTCTGCTTGGATCGTCCGCCTGGATCTTCACGTCTTTAACCAAACTTGAATCGTTCTCCTTTGCGTCTTGGTCGTCTTTCATGTTGTGACAAAAATCCATCGAGGAGCAAACTCATAAGAATAAAAAAACACTTCTATGGAGGGCCTTTGAAATGTAAAGCAATGAATGAAACCGAGACTCCACGTGATTCTGCCCAGAATGCTCCAAATAATCAGGAAGTTTAGAGGCTGTTTTAGCAAAAGGGGAATTAATCAGAAGCACAGTAGTTCCAGAGGACGTGTTTGTTCTTCAGAAGCTGAATCAATACCGAAAAAAAAGAAAAACGATCTATTTAGCCAACTCCTCCCAGCTGCTGAAACAAGGAAGGGCCATAAACCACAGAGGCGGTTTGGGATCATTTAGGCTTTTATGTTTTTGGTTTCTTCATTGCTGGGTTGTTCTCCTTTTTCAGGTTAGTTATTTTCTCATGTTCTGCTCCTCTGACAGCTGTTGCCTCTCAATTAGTTTCACCTGCTTTCTATCCCATTAGTCACTTTGCTCAAACAGGCATTGGTTCACTCAGCTCAGTTGTTCCATTTGCATCATTGGTTTGTGTGTCTGGTTAACAGGGGCGGACTTAGATGGAAGGCTAGGGGTGGCCATGCCCACCCTGTGCCAATCATTGGTCATCCCTCCCTTTTTTTCTCTCTAGTACAGATGGTGACAACAGTAAGACTATGTTCACACTGCAGCCTGAAGTGACCCAAATCCATTTTTTTTGCCCATATGCGACCTGATCTTTTCATGGCTCTCTGAACAACACAGATCAACATATTCTCATTATCAGTTCGTATGAAATCGTACGAAAAGTTATACACAGTATTTCGTACGTTTTGGACGTTTTTCCTAGAAAATACAGTTTTTCCTAGGAAATACAGATCAGTGCGCATGTGCAGACAGACAGACGAAAAAAATAGATCCGCGGACGGATGTAAAACTGGGAAAAACAGTGCAATAATCACTTCTTCAGGTCTCTAACTAGGTTGCTTGCTGTTTTGTATCTTAGGGTTAGGGTCAGGGTTAGGGTTAAATTTATGTTAAATTCTATGTAATTTAATGGTGTGTAAGATGCGCATGTGCAAGGATATCTTGTCTCGAGGCAAGACGTAAAAATACGACGAAATGCGACGAAAAAAACGTCTAAAACGTACGAAATTACGGTGCGTAACTTTTCGTACGATTTCATACGAACTAATAATGAGAATACACTGCACAGATGCAATTTTTTCCAATGCGACCCAGGCCACTTGGCTATGTGGTCCTGAATCCGATACGAATCTGATCTTTTCAAATGCGACCTGTGTGTGAACGCATTCATCCAACCTGAATGTCATTAATACCCGACGAAGGTCACTATTATGCGACTTAGAAACGGCAAGAAAAACAAAAACTATGGCAGATGATGATACAGAGAGCAGTATTTATGTTTAACCATATTGAAAAGATTGTGTCTTTATGGTTGGAAAAGACCGCTAGACGCGTGCCGGCACTACCGTCCATGTTTACTTCCGGGAAAAAAGAGCACGCTGGCCTGTGACGTCATTGCGTCCTCTACTGCGCATGTGGGACACTTGCGTTGTATGACTGCAGTTCACACAGGAGATCACATACATGTTGCATATATTATGAAATATGAACGGCAACGCGGAAAAATCGGATTTCACCAAAAAATCGGAATTGAGCATCAATGCCTGCAGTGTAAATGTACCCTAATACTCTCAAGTGGAATATTCAAAACATTTATATATTTTTTATATATTAATTACTTGACAACAAAAAATACTGTGGTCAATTATGCACATCAACATTAAAGATGATATGTACAGAATGCATGCTCTTTTCAGAAATAGATTTTGTGTTTTATGGGGTAAAGAGAAAATGATGTGTCTCTGCAAGTCATCTAGGAGTCTTCAGTGAAATCATAGATAAATAACTGTTTTAATACAAACTTAATCATCTATTTATGTAGATATTAGTAATTGTAAAAATCTATTTTATGTAGAATGATTACTGATAAAAGTAGGTTAGTAATGACAATGGAAAAGATGCTCGCCCAAAATTCAAACCTGAAAGAATTTTATCCACAATACCTTTTATCTAGAAAGCACAGATGTTTGAATATATTTGTCTATTTGTTAGCAAAGGCTGTGGAAAAGTATAGTTTGTCTTTATTTAGAAAATATGGGTGTTTTTCTCGTTAATTTTTCTGTTGAAACAGTGTAGATCGACCCTGAGGTTATTGCCTGGCCACCCTTATTAAAATTTTCTGATTACGCCTCTGATTGCTAACTGTTGAGGCTTTTCCTTTTACCTATTTCCACCCCTAAATATGGAGAGCCAGACATGCCACAGTTCAGTAACAGCTGGTGGGGTTTTCTCCAAGCGGGGTGGGACTATAAAATTGAAATAGACGTATACCAAAAACAAATCAAACCTTTTCTAATTTTAATTTTAATCTGAGGCTTTGTGAATGCAAATCTGTGTTTTGCATGGTCCAATATTGTGTCAGTAACCTAAAAAAATATCTACCAGTTTATTAATGGAGAGGCTATTAGTCAGCTCTATATATTTTTATATTTATAAAGGTTATTCATTTTTTGAGAATGTGTTTATTTAAGAACAACTATGCAAATTAAGAAAAAAACTAGAATAAGTACACTGTATTATATTATTTTCCATGTGAATCCCAGATTGTTAATTCGTCTTTGCCTTTTCTAAAAAGTGTTTTAAATCATACCTATCTATATCCATGCTGGGTCAGATCCTGACATTTGAAAAAGGAGGCAGGGAAAGCAGAATAAAGCATTAGCCTCTCTGCATGCAGATAGCCAAGCCTTGTAGCTAAACCAGGTCCTGAGAAAAGACAGAGTGTACAGTCTCTATCTGTCTTTGAATTTGCTGATTAACTTTGATGTTCAGCTAATCAGGTTCAAACAGTTTTTGTAAGTTTGTTTTAAGGGAGTTCACTGCCATGACTCGACCTGTCAATCACCAGCATGACTTTGATGACAATTCCAGTATGCTCCAGGTGCACCTCTCCTGCACCAAGACCTCTCCTATACGTCTGTATTGTAGAGGCTCTACTGTGCATGTACAACTTTTAAGAACATTTTAAAGAAAAGCACGTCCCTATGAAAAACATGCCTAAATAACATAAACAGATATGATTATTATCTAATGATTTCATGAAATAAGACCAAGTATGGCAGTTCAAATTTAACATTCTGCATTTACTATGAATTTTGATATTTACTTATTTAATACTGTATTTGATATTGCAGTCATTTCTTTCTTTTTTATGACTTTTTATGCAGTTTTATATACGTAAACCCAAAAGATTGTGAAAGTGTTTACATATAACACATATTTAAAATATTTAACATTTAGTGAATTTCTGTACTTTTTGGGACCTTTTCCTTTTTTTTTTTTTTGGTTGTACTTTAGCCTTAACGCATTAACATGCAGACTCATTCTTCCCTTGCACCGCCCTTGTTCAACTGCAGCTATGCTCACTAAAGTTCCTCTTAACACTGTTCCTGGTAAACCAGAAGAAACTTTCTGTTCTTTTTTACTCCGTTAATCTTCATTGTTCAACTAAATCCCTTTGGCTGTAATGAATGAGTTCCTTGTTAATGGGCTCACTAATGATCTACAAGCAGAAGACTGCTGACTATGAGCTTTAGACTGTGAGCTATGAGCCTGATAATAATTTGAAGTCCTTAAGCTAAGAAATTCATTAAACCATTTTAAACAAGGGTTCATTCATTCAAGCAATGGCCACAAGATGGCAGTATTTGGCAAAAACGTAGGTAAGGAAAATGTATAAAAGACAAAAAAATAGATAAAAAAGGAACTAAACATTTTATTTATTCTGAAAATATAAAAATTGTATTTTTTTTTCCAGGTAGCTTATATGCTTATATGACAACATATACAAAAGTGTAAATATATAAAACATAACTGGCTGTAATAATATGAAAACAGTAAATTAAGTACAATGTAAACACCGTTGAATTTATATATGAGTGTTTGAAAATGACGCCTGCGCCAAAAACAATAAAGAGGTTTGGTTGTTTTGCAAAGGGCCAGAAGAAAATGTGCCGTTTTCTGTATAGTTTTCTAAATATAAAATATATATTTGTTTCCATCTTTCACCATCATGCTTGGTTAATACACAACCTTATATTAATGAAATGCTTTTATCCAAGTTTAACATGGTAGATTTTCCTCAATCCAGTTTAGAAGATCTAATGTATTCAAAAGTAAAATTGCATCAGATATTAAAACACTTGTGCAGAACCTTACCGCATGTAAAGTTAGACATCAAAGAAAATTATTGAAATGATAGTTTAAAATGAACTGGTTTTGCATAATTTTCCATTTTCTTCATATGGAAAGTAAAAAATGTGAAACTATTGTAAAACAACCAAAAAAAAAAATGCATTGAGATTTTCTTGTTTTATGTCACAATAAAAAATGAGGAGTCTTAAATTTAACTGATCCGCTGAAACTGTCCCAGCTGCTCAGCTCTTTGTGGTGCATTGCTCCTATGTTTCAGAGAAGGAGCTTAAACGAAGTGCTGTTAGCTGGCTGCTTCTTCTGAGCTGTAAACAAAAAGGAAAGTCCCTGTTTGTTCACTTGGTCTGGAGCTGCTGCAGCAGGGGGTTAACTTCGCTCTCTGGGGTTTTGACGCTGTCCGTCCTGACGATGCATGTGGGGCGGTGGCGGTTAAGCATGAGGATGAGCTGCTGGCGTTCCAGCTTCAGCTCCTCGATCTGGGCTTTAAGGTCAGAGTTTAACACCTCTAATCTTTCTGACTCCTGGGAAATGAAAGAGGAGCTCTTTTTAACAATAGAAAAACAAAAGGTTCAAACTGTGAAACACTGCAGTGAACATGTCTTACCTTTTGTAGGTAATCTGTCCTCTCTTTCTTTTTGTTTCGACATCGAGCTGCAGCCACTTTGTTTTTCTCTCGCCTTCGTTTCCTCCTCTCTTCCTCTTCATCTCTCTATGGAAAGGCACAGCAAAGGAATACAGGACTGTCATTTAGTTGTTCTTTAAGATTGTGCTATGTTTCAGTCAACATTTTTATAATGACCAGAAATAATGATATAATGACATTAACGCTTATATACCATTCAATTAATTTGCAAATCTTGATAAACATGTCATTTTTGTTTGCTCATAATTATAATATTGTTAAAAGTGTTTATTAGTTAAACTTATCTATGTAAACATAAAGCAATGACAAATTACCAGCCAATACCAGAAAGACATCAAAGTCTATTTTAATGCACAAAATATGATTTTGAATTACATTTTTTATGGGGATAAAAAAAAAACTGAATAGAAAAATGTTGCAA